TCATATTTGGAGCATCTTACAGAAAGCCTGGTCCAAGAAGTGGGAAGGCCCATGAGGAGATTTCCAAGTCCTGTGTACCATGGCTGTGGAGTCAAGTTCATCTACCTGTGTGAACCCGGTGTTACCATGCACTAGCTATAGAGCCTCTTAATTATGGGCCTGAGCTCTCCGTCATTGGAAGTTTGCAAGAAACCCTGGTAAATGCTTTCTTGGGGCGTTCTCTCCAGGCATAGAGCCAAGTGACCTTTTTGCCATGTGTGTATAAGGGGCATAATCACATTGGCCTTACAAGGTTGTGTGTGAATTAAATGAACTATGCTCAGTGCACATTAGGTCCCTTTGGTCTTTGCAGGAGCTGGTGGCCTCCTTTGGCCATACAGTCCCCACCATGGTGTTAAGAGGTCACCCCAGCTTGTTAGGATTCTCCAGGACTCTTCTGGTTCTCATGCTTGCAGAGCTTTTGCTGAACCGGCAGCGGGGCTTCTCCCAACCTCATCTCCTGCAGTCGGGAACTCAGGTCTGGCTCTGGCTCCTTCCCAACTCTGCCTTCTCTCTTGCTCATCACTTGCTTCCCACCTCCAGGCCTTCACCCACTGTTTTGCTTCCTCCCAGTCAATCTCCAGCCCACTCCCAATTTGCATTTACAATCAACTTCATCTCCACAGAACACCTATCTGATGGCTCCTGGATAATGGGAACAGGTGCATGCTACCACACAGGCCTCCAGGACGGAGTTTTGCACCTCCCTCTTTCCCAGGTTGGGGGTACTCACTTTCTTTAATGTAAAGTTCAATTAGCTTGTGATATTTATGTTAAAAAGACCTGGGAGGCAGAGGGGACCACAAGCTTTATGTGAACCAAAGGAGGGATGTGACTGTGAGATGGTATCAGTAGAGGTCTGGTATCTAGAATGAGGGAGGATATGGCCTGCTCTGGTTCTGCCCTCACCTGGGGTTTTGACGCCATATTCTGGGGCATGTTGAGAAAAGGAGGATCAGGTTCAGCATGGCAAAGGCTACTGCGTCAATCCTGGGGGAGAAGTACTATCACAGTCCCATTTTACAAATGGAGAGATAGAGACTTAGGAAGCATTCTGTACCATGTCCAAGGTCACTCATGTAGTAAATGGCTGAGACAGGATTGAATGCAGGCAGTCTGACCCTGACTGGATTGGCTGGGGAGAAAGCTGGACAAGGTTGGGCACTCAGGGCCCTTTGTGATTCATTTCTGGAAAACCCTATCAGGAGAAGTGCTGAGAAGAACTGTAGAGGACCCAGGCTGCTAGTGAAGCACTCTCTGGGCCATTTGGGGTCCTGAGGAGATGTGGGAGGTTTATAAATAAAGAAATGAACTCTGCAGGGAGCAGACTGGCAGGTGTCTCAGTAGATGGACCTAGCTTCAAGTCTTGTCTCTGTCATTTCCCAGATGGTAACCTTGAGCAGGTAACTTCTCTGAGCCTCAGGGCCATCGTTTGTAAAGTGTGGGTGATGTTAGAACCAACTTGCAGCCATCATGGGAATTAAATGAGCTACTGGGTACAGAGCAGATGGCACACGGCCCGGCTTTCTAAATAAGCTGCTCTTGCTGAGGTTGGAGGTTTGTCCCCACATTGTCCCATCCCACTGTTGGAATCGAGAGCCAGCGTCAGGGAGGGAGGAGGAGACCCGAGCTGACAACAGCTTCTTCTCTTCCATCGTGCAGGCACCTGAAGACATGGGAAGCTTTTCTGCATTCCTCCGAGGAATGTGACAAGTGTAATCACACAGTTTAGCAGTAACACCTAAGAGTTTCTGGGTGCAAGATTTGTCGCTGGCTGTGAGGGGGGCTGGCTGCAGGCACTGCCTCCAGAAGACACCTGCAGAATTCCTGTGATTCTCAGCCACCTCCTCCCCGACTGCCACCTCTTCACCTGCCAGAGCTGGAACTGGCCAAAGCCTGTGGGATGAGCTGGATAGGGGGACAGGGCTGGCTGGGCACTCTTTGCCCTTAGGGCCTGTTTCTGGACAACAGGAAAAGTGCTGAGTTGTCTGGGCTGCTAGAGGAGGGCTCTCTGTGCCCTCTGGGGTGCTGGGCAGGTGTGGGAGAGTCAGACAGCTCAGGGCAGAAGCCTCTGTGTCCTTTCTTCTTACGCCCAGTAAGTCAGGACAGATACACTGAGGTCCAGCCCACAGGCTGCCCCCGAGGGAAAAAATAACCTTAGGGAGAAATCACCTCCAGCCCCTCCTCCCCACTCCTCATGGTCAGCTGATGACCTTGCTTTTTATTTCCCTGAGAAATCAGAAGCAATCAGAGGTGAACTTCCCAAACTCCTGCCCCTACCTCTACAGACCTCCTTGCATCTGTGCCCACTCAGTGGTGATTGTCCTCTCTCTGGTGATGGTGGAGGAAGCACCCCAGCTCCTGTGCAAGGCTAGCCAGCACTTGTCCCCTGAATTTCATCCCCTGGAACCTCCTCAAGGACAGCTCCCTGTAGGTGTCCTCTGCTTTGTTACCTTCTCCTATCATGAGTGGATTATTCCCACCATAAACGCAATGCTTAATTATGTATCTAATCTTAAAAGAACCCTCTCTTGGATATCACTTGCCCTGACAGCTCCATGCCCATTTCGCTGCTTCCCTCTGCAGCAAAACTCCCAGAGAGAGTAGTCATTGCTGGTCACCAAGACCTCTCCTCCCATTCTCTCTTGAGCACACTGCCATCAGGCTTTGAGCCCTGACTTCGCCAGCATGCCTCCTTTCCCTCCACAACGTCAAATCCAATGGTCAGTCCTCTACCCTCAGTAGCAGCAGGTGATAGGTGGCCGTGCCTTCCTCCTTGGAGCTCCTTCTTCATTTAGTTTCCTCCTCTGATTGTTCCTCAGTCCCCTTTGCAAGTCCCTATTATCTCCCAACCCCTGAGCATCGAAGGGCCCCTGGGTTCAGGCTTCAGAGAGTTACCCGTCTATACCCAGCCCCAATGTGATTTCTTCCAGTCTGTTGAGTCTATCTTTCCTCCTCTCCAGTGGCTTCCCTATATCACTCAGAATTAAATCCTAAGTGCCCACCATGGTCCACAGACCACACATGATCAAGCCCCTTTGATCTTATCGCTAAGCACAAATCATTGTTAGATGAACACACAGGTGAGCAACAGGAGGAGGTTGTACTCATTACCAAGCCAGAATTGTCTCCCTCTCTTCCTCCCCAAGCCTATAGCTGTCCTACCTCTGTACTCTCTACCCACAAAAAACTTCTTAGCCTCCTTCCATTGTCCTCCGTGAGTTCCACTTGACAACAGCCAGTCTGAGCCCCCTCCCCAGACTGGGGCCTCCTGGCCTCCCCAGCTACTTGGCTACTCTTTTTTCTATCGCTCCATGGCAGCCATGGGGAACTGCTTATTGTTTCTTAAGCAAGTCAGGCTTTTTTATCCTCCTACACCTTTGAACATGTAGGTCTCTCTGGAGCTTCCTTTCTACCCTTCACCCTGCATACACAAACCTATTCTTCCTTCAAAACTCAACGCAACTGTCATCTCCTTTAGGGATACTTCCCTGCTGCACCAGATTAGTGAGTGACCCAGCCAAGCTGCTGCCCAGGACACCTCCTTATAAGAAGCCTTACATCTTTCACTGGAAATGTACAGACATGGAGGAAATTTTGTTTAGTAGAAATCCTTCAGGTCCTGGAAGGAATCCTTTGAGAAATAGCTGGAAGTATGTGTTTGTGTTTGTTGGCAGGGAACAAGACCCTCAAGGGAAAAGAAGGAGAATGGGAAGGTCTGTTTTAGACTTTTGCTTTGGGAGAGAGGATGCAAATATAAGGGCAGAGCTGAATTGCTGAGGACCTAGAGAACAGGCTGAGACTCTCATCAAAACAGATAGACAATATTGGTTTGAATAGGCAGCAGGAATGAGTCTTCCAAAAGGCTCCTGGGCTTCTGTTTGGCTCTGCTTGCCTGATCTCTCCAGTCTGGGTTAAAAGCCTCCAATTCTCCATGAACTTAGCGTTTTCTATCTTGGCAAGTACTGCCCTACACTGAGAACTTTTTTTTTTTTTTTTTTTTAAGATGGAGTTTCACTCTTGTCACCCAGGCTGGAGTGTAATGGCGGGATCTCTGCTCACTGCAACCTCCGCCTCCCTGGTTCAAGCGATTCTTCTGCCTCAGCCTCCCGAGTAGCTGAGATTACAGGCATGCACCACCACTACACTTGCCTAATTTTGTATTTTTAGTAGAAACGGGGTTTCACCATGTTGGCCAGGCTGGTCTTGAACTCCTGACCTCGAGTGATTCACCCACTTTGGCCTCCCAAAGTGCTAGGATTACAGGCAAGAGCCACCATGTCCAGCCTACCCTAATAACTTTTGTTCACACATCTGTCTCCCCCTAGACTGTGGCCCCTTGGAGGGTAGGGTCTGCATCTTATCTATATTTATGACTCTAGCTATTAGCATAGAACACTGGCTTGCTATAGGAGCTTAATAAATGCTTGTTGATTGGGTGACTGGATTTTTTCATTTTTCCTCTTTATCCATATATTTTGATCTCACATGCACACAGGCTGATTTCTTCTCATGCCTGTGACTTGAGTGCTGAAATTTCTTCTACTTTCTTCTTCTTCGTTTTTCTTTCTTCTTCTTTCCTCCTCCTCCTCCTCCTTCTTCTTCTCCTCCTCTTCCTCCTCCTCTTTCTCTTCCTACTCCTTTTTCTTTCTCTTCTGCTTTCTCTTCTCCTTCTCTCCTCTTCTCTTCTTTTCTTCTTCTTCTCCTCCTCCTCCTCCTATTCCTTCTTGTTCTTACTGTTAAGGCTTTTTTATTTATTGTTTTAATTTGGTGTTGATCTATCATCATTGTACTGGAATTCTTTCTTACCTGTGTGTGTCTCCAGCTTGCAGGTACATAGATTAGATCATGCATATGTCACAGGACATTCGGGGGACCTGGGAGGATGCACTGAGCTCAGGTTCAATAAACACAGGGTCCTCCTCACTGTCTGATCTTGAGATGGTTATTTTTCTTCTCAGGTTTATCTTCCCATGAGAAAGAAGTTGGAGTAGAGGATCTCAGAAGCCCTTCTCACTCTGAGAGAAGCTATGGGAGTCATAGAGAGCTCCTGGGATTTGGAGTCAAAAGAGCCGACTCATCCTCTGCCACCCTTAGGTAAACCATCTCTGAAATGTGGACAGTGGTGAGGATTTAACCAACAGCAGATGTGAACATGCTTGGGAAGCTACAGGGGCCATGTCCATGGAAGGGGCTTTAGATGCCGTTGCCACTCGTGACATCTAGCGGCCACCACCTGTCTTGTAATCTAACCCTGATCCATGCCCCTAAAGACCTTGGAGACCTTCATTCATACTCATTCTGCCCTCTCTATCCCCATTTATTAGTTTATTCATTTATTACTTGTATTGAATGCATACTATGTGTCAAGCCGTGGGGCACAAAATTGAACAAAGTTAGCTATTACAGCTCTAGCCCTTAGGAGCTTGTCATCTAAAGTGGTAGGAATAGCACTTACCTTTCATTATGGCTTCTATGCCAGGCACTGAGTTAGGGCCTATCACAGCAGTGATCTCATTTTATCCTCACAAAACTCTTGTAGAGTAGGCACTCTTGCAGTTTCCATTTTGTAGATGTGTAAACTGAGGCACAGAGAAGTTAGGAATGGTGGAGATAAGATTGGAATCCGGGTCTTTTGGTTTAAGAGGCTGGGCACCACCCTCACTCCCACCTCCACCCCCATGAGCTACACCCCTTTACTGAGCCCATGTTCGTAGCTAACCGCCAATGTCCAAGACACATGTGACATCTGCCCAGAGCCCATGTCACATCACTTCAGAGGGAGGCAGAGGCAGGTTTTCTGTGAGGAAGGTCCAGCTCAGTCCAGGGACAGACATGGCAGTGGGCACTCCTGTGGGGCCAGGCTCACTGAGGCTCAGACACCTGCTTACCTGAATGAATCGTCCAGGGTGCGGAGGGAGAGGACCCAGCACCCACGCCCTTCAGATGCCCCCACAGCTGGAGCAGCTCCACCCTGCCCAACCCACGCCACTTCTGCAGTTCCCTTTGTTCTTGCTCCCAAGTCAGAAGGTGACAGCCTGTTCCTCCTTTCTGAAGGAGCTGTGATCTGAATCAACCCTGGAGCCCTCTGTCAGAGCTGCTCAGAGGAGGCTCCAGAAAACCCTGCCACTCGGGGGCCAGAAGCTACTGGATGTGAAGTCTATTAAAGAATTTTGGGGCAAATACGTCACGTTCACCTCTCCACTGGCAGCAAGAGAGAGTCTCCTGGAAATGAAGGCGGGATAAGAAAGGGCTTAATTCTCATTGCTGTCTCCTATAAGCCCTTATCCACGTGGGTAAACTGGTGTTTGTGTTTGGAAATGTTTGTGTGTGCAAGAGAGTGCATGTGTGCATGCAGGTATATGCGTGTGTGTATGGGGGCTGTTTGGAGGCATGTACAATAGGTGCTCCGTATCTGTGGGTTCCACATCCTCGAATTCAGCCAAGGATCAAAAATATTTTTTAAAAAATAACAATGCAACAATAAAAAAATACAAATTTAAAAAATAATACAGTATAACAACTATTTACATTGGATTAAGTATTGTAAGTAATCTAGGTTATACACAAACACTACCCCATTCTACATAAGGGACTTAAGCATCATTAAATTTTGGTACCTGGGGAGATCCTGGAACCAGTCCCCCCTGGGTAATGAAGGATTCCTATCTACATGTCTCTGTGTGCATGTGTCTCTCTGGGTGTACGTTGGTTAACTCTTTCTGTATAACAGACCACACCATTTATCACTGCCACACATCTGTGCATTGGCTGGGCTGGGCTGATCTAGGCTGGGCTTTGCTGGAGCAGCTCTGCTTCACGTGTCTCATCCTCCTGCTGGGACCAAGGGCTAGCCCAGACATGTTCTTTGCATAGTATTGACATAAAGGCAAGAGGTCTCTTAAGGCCTAGCCTTGGAACTGCCACTCCATCACGTCTGCCATATTCTATTGGCCAAAGCAAGTCACATGACCAAACGCAAAGTCAAGGGGCAGGGAAATGTATTCTGCCCCCTCAGTGGAAATATAGGCAGAGGTGGGGAATTGGGGTCAATATTGTGTTCTACAAAGATGTGCATGCATGTATATTTGTGTATGCCCATGTGTGCTTGCATATGTACATGACAGTATATGTGTGCATAAATGGCCTTCCACATATATGCAAATGTATGCACAGCTGTGTATATGCATGATCATGTCAAGCTGTTAAATGTACCTGTGATTCTGTGTGTGTCTGCTTAGGAGCATTCCTCAGACACACACATGCAGTGCCCAGCCAGGCCATGCCAGAGGAGTGGATGGGCTGATCCTGTGAAGTGGATATATCTCCAATCCTCACAGAGATACCTGTGGGACTGCCAATGAGTTTCTTGCCATCTGCATGTGCTGAGGTAGATCTTGCTCTGTTAGTGGCCCTGAGAAAATTCACTGGTCAGTTGTCTTGTAGTCTATTATTACCCAGATGTCTGTGTGTTCCAAACGATTGTTTTTAAATTGCTTCATTAGTCTGCCTCGGCAGACCCAATCCTGCTACACTTGACTGGCTCAGGTTCTGTGGGACAGAGCTGGTGGGAGCTCAGCAGGCGGCTCACTTGCTGATATACCTGCTGGTGCAGAAGGAGGTGCCCCCAGAGAGAGGCAAGGAGGAGGTGCCCCCACCCCTGCCCCCCCGCAGAAGAGGCAGCATTGTGGAGCAGGAAAGGCAAGGATTTTGGAATTAGAGAGAGCTAGTTTCAACTCCAGAACCTGCCATTTACAGTCGGCATGACTTTGTGTTAGTTCCTGGGGCCTCAATTTTCCTCCTGTAAAATGGGGTCAGTGTCCCGATATTGCGGGTGGTTGTGAGGATGGAAGGAGATGATGTAATGTGTAGGACATCCAGCATGGAGCCTGGCCCATGTGGCCAGTGACCAGAATGTGGGTGTTCCCTCCCTCTTGCCACAAAGGGCCTCTGACCTCTCTGCAGAAGCCGGGCCTCGCAGTCAGACCTGACCAATTGGGTGGGTGGCACCAGTGACCCTCAGTGGTCCACTTAGCTGAGAAGCCGGGCCTCGCAGTCAGACCTGACCAATTGGGTGGGTGGCACCAGTGACCCCCAGTGGTCCACTTAGCTGAGTCATTGATGTTCCAAGAGGAACCTGGAGACCCACATCTAACCGACCCTGCCCTACCCAAGAACAACCCTGCAGGCAAATTTCAGGACACAGAACCCAGGGTCATGCTGCCTGGGCTCAAATCCCTGCTCTCCGCTCACAGTAGTGTGACCTTGACCTAACTTTCTGTCTCTAAGTGTGCACTTCCCAAAGCAGAGATGATAACAGTACCCAACTCACAGGATACACTTTCTGCATAATTGAAGCTCTTCCCTTCAACCTCAAAACTCCATCTTACTCTCTGGGATGGAAATCATCTCAGATGTCTCACTCACATCCCTGCCTCCCTCACCAGAGGATCCTGAAAATAACGCTTCTCTCCCTGCCTTGGAAGCATGAGCGTTCACACCCGCTATACGGTGCAGAAAGACAGTTCTGTGCTTCTGCCTTGTGGCGTTTCCCCTTCTCACGAGTTGTCACTCTGCTGCTGTCAGAGTGTTATGGGGGTGCTCCTGCACTCTGCTCCTAAGCCACTACTGGATAGAGAAGGAGTCGGCAAACATTTTCTACAAAAGGCCACGTGTGTTTGTGTATGTGCGAGCACATATGCAATATTAGACTTGAAGTCTGATATTTTAGACTTCGAGGGCCACATATAGTCTCTGCCACATACTCTTTTTTGTTTGTTTGTTTGTTTTGACCCTTTAAAAACATAAGGATCATTCTTAGCCCCACAGCCACAGGAAAACAGGCTGTGGGCTGAACGTGACCATGGGATTTAGTTTGCCAGCCGCTGGAGAGATGCGCTAGTTAAAAATGCGTGTTAACTTACATTTATGGAGGTTGTGAGTGACACAGGTGCTTTCAGGCAGTGTTTCTGCCCACCAGGGACAGGCTGTGTTCCCCAGGCTTCTGCGCCTCTGGCCTTTGCATTCCTGTGGTGTGCTTGCCACCAACCAGGAGATGCATTCAACACCAAGTGTGGAGGGGGTCGGGGACAGCTCAGGGCCTCCACCTAATTTATCTTACTTAGTTCTTAAACAACCTCATGGGAAATTCTCATGCCCATTTTCTACAGAGCTGACATTGCAACACGAGTCACCTGACTCCAAAGCCATGGCCCCACGGCAGGCCCCTGCATGTGTCTTCGGAGGAGATCAGAGGAAGGATTAGGGGAGAGAGGCAGGAGGGAAGAGAGAGGCAGACAGGGCAACAAGACAGTCCTTCAGCCCATGTGCTATATTATAACATTGACTAAATAGCATAGTGGAGTTTTTTTGGAAAAGTGTTTTTTTTTTCAAGTATAATATAGGTTTATTACAAAAATTCAGTCACATAAATAAATGAAGAAGAAAATAAGAAATCAACCCCAAATCCTACCCCCTAGAGACAACCCCTGATTCTACTGTGGTGAAGGCTCTCCAGACATCCCTGTCTGAACGTAAACACATATGTACACCGTTTTAAGTGAACAGGAGGAGACTCCACATGCTGTTGTGTAAATGATTTTTTCTCCCGACAATATGTTGCGGACATTTTTCCATGTCAATAAACACAGATCGACAGCGTTGTGTTAAATAGCTGCATAATATTCTATTGCGTGTACAAATGATACTTTTAAATGCAAAATAGGCTTCCTGGCTCCCCAGGTGGGTGGGTGTGGGGCTGTGCCCAGAGGGAAGCCCTGGTGCCGGTGCCTCAGCCGTTAAGGCTGCCAGGATGGGGGTCTCAGGCTTAGCCCATGAGGGACCAAGTCACTCCAGGTAGGCTCCGGCAGCCTCAGACTCCAGGCAGCAGCCTCGAGATGGGCTGTGGAAGAGGATGGGTGGCCCTACTCCCTCCATTCTGCAGCCATCCTATGGACTCTCCCAGGGTTTCCTTCTGAGGTGTCTTCATAAGTCATGGCAGACTCCCTGGTGGGCCCTGACACCCCCAGGCAGGGCCTGGGCCATTTGCCCACTGCAGGAAGTGGCCTCTGGTTCCGCTGTCTCCCTTTCCTGGGTCCTATTCTGCATCTCTTGAGTTTCTGACCTTGGTTTACGGAATGAAGCTCCCTCAGACCCATTGTTTCTCCATTTGCCCTGCCCTGCTCAGCAGAGCCCAAGCTCAAACATGTCCCCACCATTCTGTCTCCTTCCAACCCAAACTCCACCTCCTCAAGGGTCCACAGCCTGAGAAGCCCTGGCCGGTGTTGAGGGTCCAGCCACAGCAGCCCTCTCACGTCACTCCAGGGTGGGTCGATAATGCTCCCTTCTGTGTTTTCAGGCCTTGTACCTCCCTTGGTTTTCCTCCCACCTCACAGGCTACACTTTGGTCTCCCAGTCTTGGTTCTTTCCCCTGTCTCCTAATGCTGCTGTTGTGAGCATGTCCTAATGCTCTCTCCCCACCTCATTCTATCTGTTCTCCCTGGGTTATGCCCTCCACGCCCAGTGTATTAGGTTTCTGTTGCAATAACACTGCATAAAAAACCATCCCAAAACCTCAACGTTCTACAACCACAAATATTTATTTCACATTCAAGAGTCTGCAGATTGGCTGTGACTTGGCTGGTCTTGATTGGCCTCAGTTGGACTAGGCTGGCCTCCAGGCTCCAGGTGAGGCTTCAATGCACTCCATTTATCTTCACTGCAAGCCCCAGGGTAGACTGGGCTCATGGGGACCCTCAACAGAAGAGAGTGGAAGCAGGCAATGCCTCCTGGAGGCTTCTTTCAGAACTGCAGTGCTGTTACTTCCATCCATTTGCCATTCACTACAGCAAGTTACATGGCAGCGCCAGAAGGTCAACAAAGCGGAGAAGAGCAGGGATATAAACTCCACCTTCTCCAGAGGAAGACTTTGCAATAGGCACATGGCACAAGTCAAAGATGCATAACAAGGATATACAATTCTACCCCAGGGAGGGCGTGCAGAGTTAGGAATGACAGTGGGCACACTGCGATGATGTACCTGAGACCTCTCTGCCGAGGGCCACTCCCATAATCCATCTTCTGACAGAACTGTCCTCCAACATGCCCCACAGACACCTTGAAACCACTCACCCTACCCAGTACTCACCTCCTCATCCTCACCACCCCGTTAGCCAATTCCACCAAATCTGTGTCCTGGCTTCCCCACCTGGGTCCCTGGTGCCCTGAGCTCAGCATCCCTGTTGAGAGCCACCATCTGCTGCTGGTGTCTTGGCCTCTGCCCTGTGACCGATGGGCCCCTCCCGCACACGGCCAGCCTCCCAGCCACACCAGTTGGGAAGCACAGACCTCCTGGCTCTGCTGTGTTTGCTCTCAGTTCTGTCATTTTGTCACACCTTCTTCCTACCTTTCCTTGGCCTCCTCCTCAATGACTTTCGTTCCCTCTCAGACTTGAGTGTCGTGTTTTACAGTAGGCTCTCCTAGACTGCCCTGGCGGAGGTAGGCCCCCATTTCTCAGCTCCCATAGCCACTGTTTACCTGTGCAGGCCTGTCTGCCTCCCCAGCCAGGGTCTGGATGCCTATGGGGCAGAGACAGTGTTGAGACCTGCTCTGTGTCCTCCACACGGACATAGGGTCAGGCATGCTGTCAGAGCTCAGGCAGTATTTGCACAGGGACTGGCTGACTTCCTGATGTGTTGGGCACTTCCTTGGCCCTTGGCCACCCGCTCTGTCCTCAGCACAGTTTTGGAGAAAAGAGTTGCCCCTGTGATACGGAAATTGGGCACACTTTCCCGTATCTGTGTACCCCTCTACTGAAGGGTCCCTGACATGCCCCCAGGGACCATAGCCACCATCACATGCTAGACTTTGAGACTGGAGCAGGAGTATGTGGGACCCCTGCCTAACTTTACACAGTTAGTAAGGGGCAGACCCAAGACTTGAACCCAGCTCTCTGCCATCAAAGTCGACGTGTTCACACAAGCCCTGCATCACACTGATTTGCGTGGCCTAGCAGGAGGCATCCTCCTTCACCCTGTCTTATAAAGCCTGTGCTGCCGTCCAGCTGGCTTTGGTCACCGGAAGTCCGGCTCCCTTACCTTGCCTCTTTCTGCCTCTTGCTCTACCCCAAATGTGAGGTGGGCTCCCTTTTATGCAGAGGCTACAACAATCCAAAATGATGAATCAGTAAAACGAAAAGGATGATTCTTTGGGAAAATACGGTTAGTGATTAAAAGCAACTCACTGCTTTTGGGATCCGGGACTGATTGTTGAAATGCTTGTGATGCTGTTTCCTCACCTGTAAGCTGGGAATCGTGGTCCCTAAATCATAGGGCTGTTGTGAGGATTAAATGAGGTGATAGAAACACACCACAAACACATGATCTGGCATACAGCAAGTGTTCAGTCAATGTCAGTTACCCTGCCCCAGACCATTTCCTCCTCCTCCTTTTCATCCTCTCTAGATACTTTTCCCCAACACTGACAGATAAATAAGGAGTGCAGAGAACCTCTCTGTGCAGAGACAGGGTCCTCCGAGGAATGGCTGAGGGTCCTGGGGGTCAGACAGGAGAAAAGAAGACTGTGGTCGGGGAAGGGCACGATCTTGGCTTTCCTGTCCCTGCAGAGTCATGCTGGAGCCCAGGGAGCTAATGAATTGAGAAGGGATATAGGGCGCAGGACAGAATCCATCAAAGGGGGAAGTTGCTGGGATACCCGTGTTGGGTCAATAAGGGGAGAAGTTTCCAGTAGGAGAGTTGCATGGGCTGCCTTGAGGGGTAACACGCTCTCCATCACTGCAGGTCAGCGAGCATAAGTGAGGATGGCCCGATAGACAGTTTCCAGGTCAGAGTGTGTGGGAACAGGGGTCAGCCTGTGGATGCTCTTGCAGGCTCCGTGGGAGGCGGAGGGTACATGGGGCAAAGGTGCTGCCTCTCACCTGTTCCCTGGGGGCGGGTGGGGCCCAGCTGCTGCCTCTGTGATTTGCATTCAGCCCTCGTCTGTGACAAACTCTGCATGCAGCAGCCTGCTCCCAGAGATGTGCTATTTTAAGTGCTTCCCCTCCGCCCCTAAGGGTGCCATGTGTTTATCTTGCTTTCGAGTTAAAAAGGAAAATCGATTTCACTCTTACCTTAGGAAGGTTTCAGGGTGGAGGCTGTGGGGTGGTTTCATTTCATTAAAATGAAAATGGGAGTGGGGGCAGTAAGAGCTGCAGATTCCCACCCACCTTGGCCGGTTGTGAATAAACAGTAGCCTACTTCCCTCCTTCTTTAGCCTAGACTATGGGGGTTCCAGGAGGCCTGGAGTTTGCCAAGAATGGGCACCTGAACTGTGGGTTACAACACTCATCCCAGAGAGTGGGACAGAGAGACAGGAGCTGAGCTCATCCCTGGTGTGCGTGTGTGTGTGTGTGTGTGTGTGTGTGTGTGTGTGGAGCTAGTCCCCGAACTCTGCACTTCTCAGTAGTCTGGTCAACACTGGATTGCTTGGCTACTTGAGCCAATCCAGGCTCTGAGCACTGGACACAAGCATCTTGGGTGGATGTGGGCTCTAGCCTAGGCACCCAGTCTGGGCTGGGAGGTTTTGGGCTCAGCTGAGCTAGACAGTCTGGCTGTCCTCCTTGCCCTCTCCTTTCATAGGCCCACTTGGTGGTCTGCGTTTTTGCCCTCCACCTTCCCAGAAGCCAATAGGGAATCCCAGACCCAGGCTAAGGGGCTACTCAGGGCTGCACCTTTCTCTGAGATCTGGGCCCAGCAGAGAGGGTTGCTCCAAAGAGAGGCTGAGGCAGCCGAGCGGAGCTTCTGTCTACAGGACAAGAGGTGCCTGATCACAGGAGGTCAGCTGGAGGCCTCTCCTTCCTGCCTCTAGATTGTTCAAAGAGAAGGACATTTGGAGTTGAAGATTCAGAGCAGAGAGCTCCTTGGGGAAGTTCTGGAGATGGGAGATTGGAGATGGAGCCATAACCTCCCTTTACAGCCATCCTTCCCCAGAGGCCATCAGCCCTGGGGCTTCAGTGAAAGTGGACAGCGCTGCTGCGGGGAGATCCCAGGTTTCACTGACTGTATTTCTTTCACATCCATCTACTTATATAACTGACATTTATTGAGGATGCTTCATTTCCAAGCTATTTTAACATTGTCTTAGGCCCATGTATTTACCTTCCAGTTCACGGATACCTTGCATACACTGGGCTGATGGACCAGGCAAGGTTCCTGTCCCCAAGGAACTTATGATCTAAAGAGAACCAGACATAGAACAAACTGGGTAGTGGAGGTGCTCTGATGCAGATTCAACCAAAATGCTGTGGGAGCGAATGTGTTGGGACAGTTGGTTCTGACGAAGACCTACAGGAATAATGCTCACAGAAGGAGCGAGGTTGGAACTCCCCCTGGAAGGACGAGAAGGGTTTTAAAAGGTGCCAAATCTGGTGAGGAGTAACCCAGCTCACAGGGATGGCCTTGACAGATGCTCAGTGGCATGATGTGTGTGCTGTACTGGGGGACAGACAGTGGGCTGCAGTATGGCAGGTGGGTGGGAGATGATGCTGGGAGTGTGTGCTGGGACATGGTGCCTTGAGGCCACAGTGCTTTCAGCACCTGCTAGAGACTTCACAACTCTCCATTTATACCCATGGCTATATTCTGAGGTCAGCATGGTCATCCTCAATTTGCAAAT